TTTTGGTAGGGACGGCATTTATTTCTCTCCTGTTCACTAAGTCTCCTGTTTTCCTCTTTCTTGATTTTCTCTCTCATCTGGGGAGCATATATCCTCCAGTGGCTACTTGAGGAAAAGTTCACAGAGGTAGATTTTATTTTGGTAGCTCGCATATGTGAGAATTTCTTTATCCTCATGCTCAAATAATACTTTAGCTGAGTATAGACTTATGGAAAAATAGAAATATTTTTCCTTTTGAATTTTAAAAACATCACTTTACTGACTTTAAATGTTTAATTCAGTGTTCTACCAAATTTGGAATAGAATTCTAATTTTGTCACTGAATTTTCTTTTATAGGTGTTACAGTTCGAGTGCCTCAAGCAACTACATACGTTGTAAACAATGGATTAACCCTGGGATCAACAGGACCTCAGCTCACAGTGCATCACCGACCACCACAAGTGCACACTGTAAGTGTGGATGCTTGGTTTCACAAAATCCTCACCTGTAAAGCCGTCAAGTATCATTGCAGTTGGTACCTTTTTCTTTAAACTGGTTATATCAAAAGGAAATGACAGGTCTTCTGTGTCTCCAGCAGACGTTTATTGAAGAAAATAGACCTTACCATTGTGAGCAAATGTTTGTAGGGAATGGTGGTTGAGGATTACTGAGTTTGCTTGTGGTGGTGAACAGTGTATAAAAAGAGTCCACATCTGGGGCATGCAAAGTGAAATAGACCATTTTAAACTCATGGTTAAATTAAAAAGAGCATTTTGGAGTATTAAAAAGGATGTTTTAAAAAGTATCTTTTCATGTTCTAACTTTAGTTTTTATTTAATACCTTTATTATAGGTATGGCCGCTAATGTACAGAGGGGTTGAGTAACCAGCCCAAGGTCATACGTCATACATTTTCGTCATCTGGCCTTAACTTACCTTTCCAAATGTGTATGTTCTTCTTCACATACCCGATATCTAAATAAAAGTTAATACTTGTTTTTGCCCATAAATCCCCTCACTTGCCTATCCCCATGCCCTTGCTCATGCTTTTACCTACTGGCAGAAAGGTCTGTGACTATTTCTACATTTCTAAATTCTATCTTTCACAGTCCAATATAAATGTCACCTTTTTCGTGCTGACCAAGGGAAAAAAAATATACATTCAGCGTTAAATGTGCTTACTTATAAGAATACGCTGCTGTCCTTATATGGGAAAGCAGTTTGAAAATGAAAGTAGAGTTGACACTCAAATTTTACATGATAGACTGCCACACATGTTATTTTAAAATGTTATGTTATATTAAAATAAGTATCTGTAGTACAGATCATCAGATCATAAATTATTTTGTTAGAAGTAGATGCTTATTTCAGTTTTTATCAAGATGATGTTCCATCAGCAAGGGCTTTTGTTTCCCAAGGAAAACTCAGTATTTTAGACCTCAAACGTAGAGTGGGAGGAACCTTAGCTCTCATCGTGCGGGGCGTTACTGGTTACAAATCATCAACTAGAACTTGCCAGAAATGGCATGGGGTCTGGTGTCTCCCAGGGTCCTTGGTGTAAGGTGAAGCCCCTCTAAATGTTCTCTAGGATGCTGTGCTCTCCCTTCAGCAGCGGCCCTCTTTGTGGCCATTATAAACTGGCGTGCCTCTTCCTCCTCCAGGAGCCCCCCTCACGCCCTGTGCACCCGGCGCCCTTACCAGAAGCCCCGCAGCCGCAGCGCCTGCCCCCAGAGGCCGCCAGCACATCTCCGCCTCAGAAGCCGCACTTGAAGTTAGCCCGGGTGCAGAGTCAAAACGGCATTGTGCTGTCCTGGAGCGTCCTCGAGGTGGACAGGAGCTGTGCCGCCGTCGACAGCTACCATCTGTATGCTTACCATGAGGAGCCCAGTGCCACTGTGCCCTCCCAGTGGAAGAAGATTGGAGAAGTAAAGGCGCTTCCCTTGCCCATGGCATGCACTCTCACCCAGTTTGTATCTGGAAGCAAATACTACTTTGCAGTACGAGCCAAGGATATTTATGGACGTTTTGGACCTTTCTGTGATCCTCAGTCAACGGATGTGATCTCTTCTTCCCAGAGCAGTTAAACCTTGGGGCCTTTATCTCTTCCTCCTTCTTCAAAAGTTCCACATTTGGGTCTCGCTTTAATCTTGTGCATGATACCCATTGTAAAATCCACACTGTGCAAGATTTCTTGGACAGATGTGTATATACATTACATTTGTTTATAATCAGAATAAACTCAGCCCATAAAGCAGAATCTTTTCCTGAACAATTCACGCTTCAAGGGTTTGAAATGTAAATGTGCACCTTGCTTTAGTTTTGAGGCTGGGGTATATGTGTGGGTGTTTGTGCTTTTCTGTATTTATATGTTTATTGCAGTGGAATCTCCCATTTTCATTCTCAAATTTACCTCTCTTCCAGTGTGAAGTAAGTAGATCAAAGGATTTGAGGTATGTATCTGGCATGATTCTGCTTCTCAGAGATCTGTAGGTTCATAGATAAATGATTTAAACTGAATCTAAATGGAACCCAAAGAAAAAATAAAAAGCAAAATGGTTAAATAGTTTAAAATAGGTTAATTTGAACACAGGAAAGGATCTGTTCATCTTTTCTTTTGTCTCTTCTGGGTTGTCAGTTAGATGAAAAAGATTTGCAATGGGCCCTCCCTTTTCTAATCTGGTTTTTCCATTTATTTTGTGCCTTAAAGATTAATGACAAAAGTAAACAGGGCCATTTGTCCATTATTATTTACTCTTCCCTGACAGCCTTTCACCCTCATTTCTCCTTTATCTCCACCAAACGTAGCACATCTCCCTCAAGTAAATTTTAGACCAAGCCTTTTATAAATAGTCTCATCAGTGACATCACTACATTTAACTCCAAAAATTTGACTTGCTCTTTTCTTCCAAGAATATAAATGCTTTTTATTTTTGCACCACGTTGTGTAAGAAAATTTTCCTTCAAATATATTTTGGTATCTATGTTGCACAAGGTTTTAGAGATGATGAAAGCAATTCTAGTTTACCTTATCACCCAAAGCATAGTATTCTTTCAAAGGAAGTAAATTTCACAAAATACAGTGAGTAAAGTATCAAAGGGAAAGCTCCATTTCTTCTTTATTCTCCTGTCATTCTTCCTGTCTCAATCTTTTAACTTTGTTTTGATGGTGCTAAGTTTTGTCTGATTTACCGTATGTCAGCTCTGGATAGGATTTTTAAAGTATATCCTTTGGAGTCATTTTATGTAACAATTAGATATAACTTCTGTGCATCTCTGTTCTTCTTCAAAGTTTTAATCAAGTTCAGCTTAGGTCATGGATTTTCATTATGAGTGCCAGCTATACGTGGTATCAGGTACATGTTTGAGTGTAGATAGCTTAAGACAGGAGAGGTGGTGTAATTTGGGGTGTGAGAGCGTGGTTGGCCATACGTGGAAAGGAATTTGTGGAGTTTGTGAAACAAATTTTCAAGTCATCTTCCCATATCATATTTGAATTCATACTCCTACCTTCTTAAATAAGTTAGTCATTAATTTTTCCTGGAATTATAAGCAGGAGCTATGGCTTCAATATTAATGCTGCTTTGTTTGCAACTTCGGTGGCTTGTAATAAGGAAGCATTCTAGTTGTAAAGAAACTCTTTAGAGACTTTTACCGGTCAGTGTACTGTCATGTTGGGTGTGAAGTCTGATTGATGCTGAAGAAAGCCTACAGATTGCCAAAAGTAAATCCAAAATCTTCCTTTTGCTTTCAGAAAATGAGACCACAATAAGAATTAAAGTTTCCACTAATTGTATTTGCCAACCATGTAGACGTTACTCATTCTAGTACTAATGATGATGGTAAAGAAGTTGCCAATGTCATGCCAATGAAACTTTAAAGGGAGAAATTGATGATCTTCTAGATGTGTGTGAGCACCTATCTTATATCTGCATGTATATATGTTTTTACCTGCAATGGTTGCAGTGTTGATTATGTGTTCAAGATCACTCCTGTCTACAGAATAGAAAGCCCACGTTCAAAATTGTTCTTTATTGACCGGTTTTGTGGTCACTTGATAATAATTTGCTTACCTAGCCTAGAAAGGTGCCCTTGGTGAACGTTTTTTATTTATATTTACTAATCCTTTTTTTTTTTTAAAGGTTTCATAGCATTATATAATCAGGTGAAGAAAGCCCAGTAGAATGAGAATATTATTTTAGCCTATATTGTGTCATTTCTGTCAGAGAAAAATAAATACTTAAATAGTAACCCTAAAAATAGATTTTCTACAGTAAAATAAAACTTTATTACAGGTGGTGGAGGGAAGGTACAAAGAGAAATTGTGATTATTTGAGGGAAAAGATATTATGAAATGGTCTCCTTCAGTTAGCCTGCCATGGGATTTATAGGCAGCAGCTGTATTGGAGTTACTTATGGGTGCTAGGCTAGAACTCTAGGCTTTTATTTGGGGCAGGTTTTCATGTTGAGGAGTACTTTCTTTTTGTTTGGTTTGTTTCTTTGGGGACAGAGAATGGAGGACTCAACTAGAAATAGCTACTGGTTACAGATTTTTTTAATAGCAGTTCACACTCCATGGTACCTTTTTTTATTTCACAATATCTTTTCACAGAGTGTTATAAATAAACTTGATAATCCCATTTTGGGAATGCAAGTTTGCTACCTTTTTAGCCTGACAATACTTGTGCAAGTATTGCCTTGTTGGAAATCCTGGAAACTTCTGATACTTCAGCCTGAAATATAGGATGTTTATATGACATTGAAAGGTAACTGTGATGTTTGTTACTCTCTACTTTGCACTTTGTCAGAGTAATCTTCACCCTGTTTTAAGTGTAAGCCTCACATTTTAAAATTATGTTCTTGCCAGTAAATTTATAAATTACATACAGAGACATCTGTTGTTAACAGGTAACTTTACGAGGTGACTGTATCCCGCTATTTCTCTGGACTCACTTTTAAAATATGCGGAGAACTGTGTGCTGTTTAACACAGAAGTTTATGAGAGAAGTGAAGGTAGAGCTTTCTTCCTTGAGAAGTGAGTGTTTATTGGGATACCATTTGCCTCACAGAGAGGTGTTCCCCGCTCTCCTGACCCCCATTGCCAGATAGTAAATGAAAGGTTTAATTGAAAACAATGACCTAAAGCAAGGAGCTTGGAATCTTAGGACCATCTGTCAGCAGAACTCCTTAGGTGGGCCGCACCACACAGTTCTCTTGCTGTATTGGATTAAGTGTTAACGTAGTTTTTTTTGTTTGTTTGCTCTTTTGCTTACACTTTCAAAATGATCATTTATGCAGCAAGGTGTTAATACTGCATACACTTTTGTCTTATTCTGCGAATTTTCCAGTACTGTACAAGATTAAGAAAATAATGCCTGTGGTATCCTCCTCTCTTTTATACACTGTGATCTTAGCACAGTAGGTTACGGCAAACACTTCCAAGTGTTCTCCGGGACTTTCCTTCTTGGGCTATTTCAGTATCCTGTGATTTATTCATTACTTTAGCTTTATCATTGGCCTGTTTTATTTTAATTTCCAGAAATACCATGTCCCAGTATTAGATTATTGAAAATAACTCTATCTAAAACCAATGTATGATTCTGCCTGCCTTACTATTTACTGGGCAAATGAGGCTCCCTCCCCTTTTTAAAAATTTTGGGACAAAAAAAAAAAAAAAGATTAGAACAATGCCTATAAGGTGTTTTGTTAGTGCGGCAGGTTTATCCAATTCCTAAAACTTATTCCCCTTGAGCCAGCCAGTGGGGAGGAATAGGATGGTACAAATACATGCTTTGTCTTCTGGTCAAATTATTTTATCATGCTAAATAAGTTTTTCATTTTTTTTTATTCGTAGAGTCAGTTAATACCCATCATTTATATTTAATTGCCATCTTTTAAAAAAATTTTGTTTGTAAATAAGGTAACTGGGCAATCAAACACCTTTTGGGAAATCCTGGCTTTAGTGTTTCATCAACCATTTCAAATTTAAATATAAAAATAATTCCTTTGTAGTAAACTTGCATCCTGATTTTTCTTTATTGCAGTTGAAAGTGTAAATAATAAGACAATGTAAGACCTTCCTAATGTCTAATAGAAACTGGGCTGTACCAAGTTGCCCTATTTTTATTAGGTTTCGAAGGTTTTTGTGGGGTTTTTCTTTTTTAAATGTACAGTAGAGTGTTGTCTGTATAAGTGTTAACTGTAGTGGGATTTTGTTCAGCAAGCCTGAAATTTATACTTTGAAATAAACTGCTGGGTTTTTCACATCCTGTGTGCTCTGATTCATTCTGCTTGTTCTCAGCCCTTGTGTTTCTTTGTTTTTTCTTCTGGGAGTCTTTCACCTTGTTGAGAGTCACTGTTACAGTGTTCAGTATGGCTCGTTTAACTTAACTTGACAGTACCACGGTACTCAAACCACATATAGTTCTCCAGCTTTGAAAGAAAAGTTTGTTATGCAGAGTTGCTCCCAGATTAGATATGCTGCTTTTAACTAACGGGAGACAACATTAAAGTCTGCTGTATTATGTGCCTGTCCTGCGCCAGAAAAAGACTCAGCTGTTGCTTCCTAATGACCAGAAAAAGAACACTATTGGAGTATTCCTATTGCAGGTCCCACCACCCCCTAGAGCTCTGTCATCAAGCACATCCAGGTGGGAGAAGGGGAAACAGCATGAGCAGTACAGGCTGTTAGGGGCCAGGCCTGGAAAGAGTCCACTCGTGAGAACGCCGCCACGTGGCACAGCTGCCCAAGGCAGCCTGGGAGGTGTGGTCTGTGGGGCCAGGCTTAAAAGCAGAGAATGGATTTTGGTGAGCGAGGGAGCAGCTTCTACCATACTTTCTTGTGTATAAGCTTGTGTGCTAAAACGGTATTGTCGTTCATCGTATGTAATTTTTTCTTCTACAGTGCTCTACCCTATAGTAAATGCTTGTTTTAAACATGACAAAATTGGCAGTGAAAAATGAAAGTGATAGACTGGATTGAATGTATTTTAAGACGAAGTCTGAATGGGAAAACGTAGTTAAAATAGTGCCCTTTGTATCTCATCTCCCTCCATTTCATGTCAAGTTACAGAATTGGTTTCATGGTAATAAAATCAAAGTTGTAGGCCTCTGGCATGCCCTCATGGAGAGTTTTGTTGAAACGGCTCCAGTGAAAAACAGGGAGGCCACCTTGTACTGTGGGCCCACTAATGGCATAGGCTGTGTACGCGGACGCCAGGTGGATATCTGCCACCTGCAAAGAGAGGAGAGGGGGACATTTTAGGAAACCGCTGGGCAAAAGCTAGACTACATCCCTGCTGTACTTGTCGTTCCTGCTCCTCGTCCAAAGTCACAATATTAGCTCCCCTTAAAGTGGAATCTTACAGGCTTCCACACGAACGTTCTTCTGCATCCATCCGGCATTCAAATGTGCACTGACCAGTAGAAGTGTGTTAAGCGAACCGCCAAAAGTGTGAGATCTGGAATCAGGTTACTCATGTTTGGAATTCTAGCTCCAAAACGTATTTTGACTCCGTTTTCTCATTTGTAAAAAACTCTGCTTCATAGAAGAGTTGTCATAAGGATTAATGAGAGCAAATACTTGAAGCAGTGCCTAGACTAGATTAATTCCTCAGTAAAAGTTGTTATGAATCAGGGCACTAACGAGTATTAAAGTAGAAGGAACTCGATGAAAAGTGAGGTCCGTGGTTCTTAAAAGCACTTGAACATTGGGTAGCAGCAGATCTTAAGCCTAGAGGGGAAAGCAGGAAACGTCTCATAACTTCTGGTTTTCCTCATATTCAAAATGGCTCAAGAGAAATGATATTTTTAAAGAATATGCTTCAGCAGAGACTTTTTTGATGAAAAATTGGCAGGCTCTTGTCTCCTGAAGAAAGTAAAATTTGGCAGATGGAAGCTTGGCTTGGGCTCTCCCCAGTTCAAGTAATTCTCTTTGTGTGTTCTGGAATGGATATAACGCTTTTCACACACTTTACTGAATGTTTGCAAATGCCATTAAAAAGAAATAAATGCAAAAGCATTCACTGGGGCTTCACGTGTGCCAGGCTCGCTACATCCACTAAATTTTTCTTACACAACATTTTGAGAGTCATTAAGGCTAATGCTTGGCTCAAACTATTCTAAGGCATCTTCTGTTTAGACATTAAGCTGATAGAAAAAATAATGTATGGGGGGGTTGGCATTCTTACAGTTATCAGAGCTTCAGATAGAACAGTTAACTCCGCTTGTAACAGATTTCTTCTAGAATTCAGGACTGGAGATGCAAATGAAAAGACATATGCCCAAGCCGAAAGTGCAAAAGGATGTGGTAGAATGATTCCTTCCACCAACTAAATGGCTAACTCACAACCTTGGACATCCCAAATCCTGGTAAATTTTTAACTAACTAGCTCTCTGAGGGAAAAAGACCCCTATTTGTAGTGTTTGCTGATTTCCATGATGGAAATATTCCACCACTTCAAGCTATCAAGTTGGTGTCAACTATTTTAACAACTGGTTCTCACAAGCCTATATGAGTGGGCTTCAGCCCCACTGCAAACTTTTTATTACCTATATTGTGACACATTACGGCACTTAACAATTCTAGCATAGTGAAAAGTCTTTATTGCTTGAGCATCTGGTCCAATACTTGTTCCTTCAGCTACATTCAATTCCTGTGTAACGTGAAATCACACTGCTCTCAGTATGTTCTTTGGACTTTGGGCCGGTCTGGTAAACCTTAAGACCTCCACAATATCACCATCATCATCATGATGACTGTGTACATTTACAAACAACCCACTAAGTACTGTTGTGAACATTTTATAGCTATTAAGTGTTGATTCTTCACAACAACCCTTGAGGCAAGTACTCTTATTTCCATTTTTTGGATGAGGAAACAGAAGCATAAAAGATTATGTGGTTTACAGCTGAGTGGCCGAGCAGGAACTGGAAGTTAGGCAATAGGACCTACCACCAGAATCTCTGAAAAAGCTGATTCCTGAATTGAGTTTGTGTTTAGAGACATTATTGTGCTTTATGCCACAAAAACCTCTGCAGCTCTGCCTTTGAAAAGGCCTAGGTACTGGTAGAAATTAAATCCAAAAACCAGTAACGACTGGATGGGAGGGGAGTTTGGGGGAGATTGGATACATGTTACCTATGGCCGAGTCACGTTGCTGTGCGCCTGAAACTACTGCAACACTGTTAATTGGCTGTACTCCAGTATAAAACAAAAAGTTAAAGAAAAAAAAACCAAAACCACCAATAGCGTGTTACCTTGGTGTCATAGCAACCTCCAGGACTTGGGCTCAGTGAGTTCAGGTCCTCACGGCAACAGATGGTATTGCAGGGATCGCCATTACTGTAAGTATCGTTCTTGTAATCTAGGAAACAGTGATGGGGAAAAGCGTGAGCACTGACCATTCTGAGATCCACTTATCCACAGTAAACTGGACCTGTTAAAGCCTAGATGATCAGAGCGTATACCCCAGAGACCTCCTCGACCCAGCCTGCTCCCATATACAGAAGTCACCTCCGACTTGTACTGGGAAGAGGCAACCGCCAAGTCCCCTGCTCCAGGCTCAGCCTGGTCTCAAGAACCTTGCACAGTGAAGAATTGGATGGAAGAAAGGTAACAGAGGACAAATGTACCTACATTTTTTTTTAACAAAATAGATACAAATCTGACTCGATACTGTTCATCAAAAATAAAGTATTTATGAATAATTGCTGTTTTAGTAGCTGCTTTTCTCCTTGGAAGGAAATCTGTGTTTGGGACGGTAGGGTAAAAAAAAGTACCCTACATGGGTTTTTTCTTCTGTGTTTTACATATAACTTTTTCAGTTAAAAAAAAATGTAGAATCTTCTTCCCTATCATTTTTATAAAAGAGGACAAAATTCTATTTGTTGTGTATATAATATGCATAGTATCAACTGAATACTAAATAATTCAATAACTTCTTATAATTCCTTCTAGTACAGAGATGATAAAATGACATGGATTCTTTATCCATGGGGAAGAAAAGGAGTTTTGAAGAATGATTCTTGAGAAATGTGCTACGTACTGTTGTAGCGCATGATATATTTCATGGATTCCATATCAGTCACTTTCCCTTGGTCACGCCGGAAGATTTTGGCTCGTGAAGCCAGATCGTAAGAGTACTCCAAACCCAGCTTCTTAACCAACATTGGATAGCCGCTCCAGTTGTAGATTTTTTCATGGAAAGGAATGTTGTAGGAGGGCCAGTAGCCTAATTTGGAATGGAAGGGAGGGAAGGGTGGGATGGACAGGGAGGAAGACAGAAGAGAGAGGAAACCAAAGAAATGTTATTCGTGGTACTTTCTTTTGAAAATTGGCACAGCTGTGTAATTACAAAATGATACTACATAGAAAATAATGACTGTGAACCCTGGCAATCAAACAGATCCTTTGACATTTACAGACTCGGTAGACCTCTAGATTATTCCATGAGGGGAAGAAAAGCATCAGGGTTCTTTGGGTTTTCACCCCAAATTCTTAAAGCAGTCTATTAAGCAGAAGATTATCTGAATTCTAGGCTCAGGGTTGAATAACTAGACCTTAGGCAGTTAACCTCATTCCCCCAACCCCTTTTTTTTTAGCAGGAGGGGGGAAAGGAAGAGTTCATAATGTGAGGGGAATGGAGATGGTCTTTACGGTTCCAGTAGGCGTTTAACTCCTCTGACGCTCGACATTCATAAAGGCTCAGCTTCATTCAGAGCTTCAGTGTGCCGAGGACACTAGGCGTCAAACATGTGACACACCTTTAGTCAAATCAACATTTCGGGAACAGCTCAGATTACAGTGGCCTAGGGTATTGCCTATAGGACAGTCAACCTTCAGCATTCGGGGATTAATTCCCACTCCCATATTCTCTTAGCCCTTGTCTGCCTTTTTCCCTTCTTACTGTTTTATAGGATCCCCTACTCGGGGGTGAACTTATTAAGAGAAAACAAATGACAAGACATTCAACCTTGCTGATTCTGGGGCACAGAGCCAGCATCAGGAAGAAGTGAGATAAAGACAACATTGAAAGTGCAGGCTAAAAGTCACATTTATTATTGCAGTGTACCTAGGTTATACAGCTTGGGAGTTAGAGTGCCTGGACCTTAAGCCTGGTCCTGCCATTATTAGGTATGTGACCTTACACGAATTTTTTAACCTCTCTGTGCCTCAGTCTATAAAATGTGAACAATGATAGTACTTACCTTATAAGGATCATTGTGAGTGTTAAATGAGTTCAAACAGATGGAGTAGCTTACAACAGGGTCTGGTACTTGGTAAGCACTAGATGAATATTAACTTTTATAATTATAGTTCTCTATGTGAATAGCTCAAATGAATAATAAAAATGGCCGCTTTATACTTCACATTTTCATAAAGCTTCATGACTAAAAAAAGATTTAAAATAGAGTATCTTATATAACAACACAATACCTGCTGATGTATAAATATTACATCCCTCCTTCTAAAGGAAGAAACAGAGGTTCAGAGAGGTCGAATGCCTTCCTTCTGACTAAAATCACCCAGGGCTTCTATCGGCGTATCACAGCTGCTTCCAAATACTAGGAGGTTTGCGGGACTTTTTTTTTTTTTTTTTAAATGGCTATATGATATCGCTTAATTATTTAGGAAAATCACATGTTTCTTTCTGAGCCTTTCTTCCCTTACAGTAAGATGGTAACAAAGCTACTTATCTGGAAATATGTTAGGAAGGTCAAACAAAGGACTATAAGTAAAAGGTATGTCAAGTATATAGTAGACACTCAATGAATTTAACTCTGTGTTCTTCTTGCCTCTGGGGGAAAACAAAACAAAACTACAGAAAGATCAGCATCAACTTGTCTTAGTCCCAGGGTAGATTTCTTCACGGGATCTAGGAATGGGATTGCAAAGAACCTGAATCTACCAGCATATAATCAGAGGCTTCCTGTTATTATCAGGCTCTTAGAACCAAGTCAGACAGCTAGGTTCTCAGTTTCGAACTGCCATGCCAACCAAGTAGCCACCTAATGATCTGACTTCTCAGGTGGATTTTCCAACAAGAAGAGGAGGTAGGTCCGCTACTTGGTAGCATCTGATCTTCTTGAAGTTTCCACCTTAATTAATTCTGTTTTATGCACATTATATGCATTTAGCTGGCAGGAGCCACCCTGGAGTGAGGCGGTTCCCTCTGGGTGTCATTACAAAATGGATTCGAGGACCTGGGAAATGAAGGACCGGCCCTGATCCCCAGGACCCATACCGTATCTTGGTTCTGTTCCTTCTCATCTCTCAGCTGATCTATTTAAACAGTTTCCTAACTCCCTCCTGTCTTCTCTCTGACCTGTGTGTTCTCCCTTTTCAAAGACTCCAGTTTTCTAAAGGATAAAGGCTAATTTTTAGTTTTTTGAGGAACCTCCATACTGTTCCCCATAGTGGCTGTACCAATTTACATTCCCACCAACAGTGCAAGAGTGTTCCCTTTTCTCCACACCCTCTCCAGCATTTATTGTTTGTAGATTTTTTGATGTTGGACATTCTGACTGGTGTGAGGTGATACCTCATTGTAGTTTTGATTTGCATTTCTCTAATAATTAGTGATGTTCAGCATCTTTTCATGTGCTTTTTTTGGCCATCTGTATGTCTTCTTTGGAGAAATATCTATTTAGGTCTTCTGCCCATTTTTTGATTGGGTTATTTGTTTTTTTGATACTGAGCTGCATGAGCTGTTTGTATATTTTGGAAATTAATCCCTTGTCGGTTGCTTCGTTTGCAAATATTTTCTCCCATTCTGAGGGTTGATTTTTTTGTTTTGCTTATGGTTTCCTTTGCTGTGCAAAAGCTTTTAAGTTTAATTAGGTCTCATTTGTTTATTTTTGTTTTTATTTCCGTTACTCTAGGAGGTGGGTCAAAAAAGATCTTGCTGCGATTTATGTCAAAGAGTGTTCTGCCTATGTTTTCCTCTAAGAGTTTTATAGTGTCCAGTCTTACATTTAGGTCTTTAATCCATTTTGAATTTATTTTTGTGTGTGGTGTTAGGCAGTGTTCTAATTTCATTCTTTTACAAGTAGCTGTCCAGTTTTCCCAGCACCAGTTA